ACCCCCTCCCGCCTCCCTTGACATGCATTCTTCCTGTATTCTTTCACCCTGCAGCTCTTGGGCATGTAGGATAACCCTGTGCTCCAGGAGGGTGAGGGCCGCATCTGATCCAAACTTCCCTATCTCTCCCAGAGCCACCTCCCGGCCTACGGCTCTGCACACAGCCAGTGCTTAATAAGTGTTTGGTGAATAGTGCTGGCACAGGCCAAAGGAAAACCCAGGGCGCCAACGGAAGGCCCAAGGACACAAGGGCCCGCTGCACAATAAGTTGTCTGGCTTGATTTTGGAAGTGATAAGTGCAGACTCACCTTCCTCCCAGATCTCGGGCCCTTTGTACAAGTTAGCTGTTGTTTCAGTTTTCCAGTTATCAAGATGTGACTGTGACACACCCCAGATCCGCATTCTCCTGGTGAGGAGCTCCTTTTCAAAATCCAGTTTCTTTTTGTTGACAGCCCTTCTTTTTACATCACCACCTTCATTTCCAAGTATATCCTTCCCCCCTTTCTCAGACTCATGTTGTTACTGTGCAGCGATTTCAGACTCTCCGTGACCCCATTTGGGGTTTTCTTGGCAAAGATCCTGGAGACTTTTGCCATTTCTTTCTCCAGCTCATTTTACAGATGAGGAAACTGAGGCACACAGGGCGAAATGACTTTCATAGGGTTACACAGCTAGTGTCTGAGGCCGGATTTGAACTCAGGTCTTCCTGACTACAGGTCCGGGGCTCTATCCACTGTACCACCTCGCTGCCTGAGGCTCATGCCTTCCAACAAAGACTGAAAAGGAGGGAGAAAAAGCCGTCATCGTAGTCTGACGGCATATGCAGTGTTCCCAGGTGGGAGGGTGGAATTTGGGAAAGCTAATTTTTAGTTTGAACAGTAAAGAAAGAAAAGATGATGGAAAGGATGAAAAGAAACTTAAAAAAAAGTTTTCAGGGGCAGCTGGGTGGTGCAGTGGATAGAGCACCAGCCCTGGAGTCAGTAGGACCTGAGTTCAAATCAGGCCTCAGACACTTGACACTTACTAGCTATGTGACCCTGGGCAAGTCACTTAACCCCATTGCCTAGCCAAAAAAAAAAAAAAAAAAGTTCTCCATTGGATCTTAAGTCACTGATCTTTCAGTGAAAAAGCCAGTGGGAATGTGAAGATGTCCAAAGCCAAAAGAAGCAAGAGAAAACTTGCAAACTATTAACAACTATAGGAAGAATTATTCCAAATTACTATGAAAAGAAATAGAAATAAAACCACTCTGAGGTTTTACCTCATGCCCAGCAAATTGGCAAAGATGACAGAAGATGGGAATAGTTAATGCTGAAGGAATTGTGAAGGACGGGCACACGATTGCCTTGCTGGGACTATGAGCTGGCCCAGCCATTCTAGAGATTGGGTGATAATAATGATAATAGCTGGTATTTCTAGAGCCTTCCCGTGTGCCAGGCATAGTGCTAAGTGTCTGCAGACAGTGTCTCATTGGAGCCTCACAGCAGCCCAGGGAGGCAGGTGCCGTTATTGTCCCCCTTTTACAGATGAGGAAACTGAGGCAAGCAGACGTTGGGTGAGGTGCCCAGGGTCACATAGCTAGTAGTGTCTGAGGCCGGGTCTGAACTGAAGTCTTCTTGATTCCAGGCCTGGCATTCCGTCCACTGCATAGCCTAGATGTCCCAGGTGGATGAGATACATATAAGAAAATGTCTAAATGTCTATATCGTTTGATCCAGAGATTCTGCTGCTAGAGATACACTTAAAGTATAGCTAGAGTCAAAGAGAGAAAAAAAAAGGTCTAACAAACACAAAAATATTTATAGCAGCACTTTTTGTAGTAGCTAAGAATCGGTAACCAAGAGGATGTCCATCAACTGGGGAAAGTCTAAACCGGGTTGGGGAACCTGGGGCCTTGAGGCCACATGTGGCCCTCTAGGTCCTCAAGTGCCCCCAAGGGGATCTGTTCTGTGAAGTTTTGATTTGGTCAAAGGGCCACACTTGAGGACCTAGAGGGCCACATGTGGCTTCGAAGCCCCAGGTTCCCCACCCCTGGTCACTCAACCAAATGTGATACTTAAAGGTGAGCATGTATTACTGTGCCCTAAGAAAGAACAAATAAGAAGTCAGAGGATCATGGAAAGACTTCTATAAACTGATACACAGTGAAGTAAGCAGAACCAGGAAAACTAGATACATAGTAACTCCAACGTAAGTGGAAAGTATATTTAAAAAAAAAGAAAAAAAGGAAATCAAAACCAAATGATTACAATGACCACGCTTGGCCCCAAAGAAGAATTGGGAGAAGTGGCTTCCCTTCCCCCTTTGCAAACATTGGGGGTCGTGGGTGTGGAACATGTCAGAGTTGGTTAATGTGTTAATTTTGCTGGACTTCTTTCTTCCCCTCATTTGTATTCCTTGTTACAAGGGACGGTCCTCTGGATGGAGGAAGGGAGAGGGGTATATTGGGAAGTGAAGGTGATGTAAAAGCCAGAGATTATCAGCAGTGTTTTAAGAGAAAGTCAGTGGAGGCTATGCAGAAACCAGTAGCAAAGCAGACATGTCGGAGCAAGTTTTTGTGATCTCTTGGCAGTGCTCCATAAACTCTGCATAGAACAAGTTTGAAAAAAAAGTTCCGAAGTCTGCTGTTTTGTTGGGGTTTTCTTAGCAAGGTTACTGGAGCAGTTTGCCCTTTCCTTCTCCCGCTCGTTTTGCAGATGAGGAAACTGAGGCAAACAGGGTGAAGTGACTTGCCCAGGGTCACACAGGGTTGTATCCCTTGGCTCCCTTTTCCTAGTTCTAATGGCTGAAATCTCGTTCTTGCAACATCATCTTAGACCAGGTTAGGAGGGAGCCTCCAGGTCAGGGGTGCAGGTCCTTCCTGGATTAAAATCCTTTCTTCAGCAGCCTGGACAAGTGGGCGTCCGGCATGGATGGGTGTGTGTGTAAGGGGCCCATCACCCTGGGCCAGCTCATTCGACTTCTCCATGGCTCTCATTGGGAAGTGTTTCTTACATCTCGTTTAAATCTTCAACTTCCATCCATTGTTTCTTGTTCTGCCCTCTGGGGCAAAGCAAAAAAAAAAAAAAGACCAAAGTCTAGACCAGGGGTGGGGATTCAGTCCCAGGGCTGCCCTTGAGGACCTAGAGGGTCATATGTGGCCTCAAGGCCGCAGGTTCCCCCCTTCCTGGTCTGGATGAACTCTGGCCATGGCATCCTCTACACGTGAGCATCCCTCTCAAGAAAGGAAATGAAGAGAATCTGTGTTGGGCGAGGCCAGGCTTCTTTGTAATCACCTCCTCCCTTTCTAGGTGTTGACCAGCCATCCCTCTAATGATCTGCTCAGGGATTTCCCCAGGAGTCTCAATCAAGCTCACTGGAAGGTTGTTTTCCCTTTTTTGAACATTGGGACGTTGGAGCCATGGTCTTGAGGTCCTGCTCTTTTCCTCCATGGTCTCTTAAATAGCATTGGTAGTGGCTCATTCTTCAGTAGCTCTGGATGTGGTTCATCAGGGCCAGGTGATTTGAATTTATCTGTCAAGCTTTTTGGAAGCACTCTGTGTCGGGTGCTGAGGGTACAAAGACAGAAATGAAAACATCCCTTCCCTGAAGAAATTTGTAATTTTTAAAAATACCTTCTTAAAAACATTTTTAAAACGGTTTTTGCAATTATATGTAAAAGCAATTTTTAACATTCATGTTTTAAAATTTTGAGTTCCAAATTCTTTATCTCCTTCCCTCTCTAGCCCATCCCAGAGACAGTGAACAATTCAATATGGGTTTTACATGTGCAGTCATGCAGACCGTTTCCATATTAGTCATGTTGTGAAAGAAAACACAGACCAAAAAAAACCCCATGAAAAAATGTGAAAAATAATATGTTTCGATCTGCATTCAGAGTTGTCAGTCCTTTCTTTGGAGGTGGATAGCATTTTTCGTCATGAATCCTTCGGAATTGTCATTGTATCGCTCAGAATAGTTAAGTCATTCACAGCTGATCATTGTACAGCATTGCCGATACTGTGTATAATATTCTCCTGGTTCTGCTCACTTTACTTTGTATCAATTCATGTAAATCTTTCTAGGTTTTTCTGAAGCTTGTCATTTCTTATAGCACAATAGTATTCCATCACAATCATATACCACAACTTGTTCAGCCATTCTCCAACTGATGGGCATCCCCTCAATTTCCAATTCTTTGCCACCACAGAAAGAGCTGCTATAAATATTTTTGCACATATAGGTTCTTTTCCCTTTTTTTGGATCTCTTTGGGATACAGACCTAGAAGTGCTATTGCTGGATCAAAGGGTATGCACAGTTCCAAACTGTGCTTTGGGCACAGTTCCAGATTGCTTTTCAGAACGGTTGAAGCTAGAGATTCTAAGAAGTGGTGGGGAGGAGGGAGAGCATGCCAGGCAGGGCAAAGGTGGGAGCTGGAGAGTCATGGATGAGGAGGCTTGTTTAACTGGACAATCACATGTGTGATGGGGAATAATGTGTAGTGAGTCTGGAAAAGTAGGTGGAGGCTGAAAGGTAAAGAGCTTTAAATGCTAAACGGGGGGAGGGTTAGTCCCAGGAACGATAGGGGCCGCTGGATGTTGGGTGTCAGAGCAGCGTGGCCAGCCTTGACTTCAGGAGAATCGCTTTGGTGGCCGTGTGGAGGATGCTGTGCTGAGGGGAGAGGTTAGAGGCGGGGGGCCAGTTAGGAGACAGGATGTGAGAGGGGCACGTAGGGAGAGACGTGGAAGCATTTTGTGCAGATTCGATCCTGTGCGGAGCTTACTTTGTGAATGTTTGTTTGCTTCTTGTCTCCCCTATTAGATTGTGAGCTTCTTGAGGGCAGGGGCTGGCTTTTGCCTCTGTATCCCCAGTGCTTAGCACAGTGCTGGGCACATAGTAGGTGCTTAATGAATGTTTATGGAATGAATGAATGAATGAATGAATGAATGTTGGGTGCTGGAGATGCAAGACAAAGAATTCAACAAGTCCCGTTTGCAGGGAAAGCATCGACTCCTGGGAAATCATCGAATTTGGCCCGATCAGACATTTGGAGGTGAGTGAGAGGGAGGAAGGGAGGAGAGCGTGGAGACTGCTGACCTGGGCGACTGAGGGATGGCAGTGCCCGCTAGCTGAAGTTGGGGGAAGGGCGCCATCCCAGAAATATAGGAATGAAGAAAGGGGAACTGGTCGCCAGCAAGTTTGTGCCATTTGTGCCTTCACGGTGTCCACGGGAGACACAGGGGATGTCACTGGAGGGACCGCACAGCTCTCTTGGTGAGATCACAGGCCTTCTGACTACAGGAGAGATGAGAAAGTGATAAACAGTCTGGGGGCGGGGCAGAGTGCCCCTCATGTCCTGGCCGGTGTGGGGCCCCACGCTTTAGGAAAGTCTTGAGTTTTGGATAGAATCCAAGATGGTGAAAGGCCTCATATTTATGCTCTAGGAGGCTCAGAAGAAGAAACGGGATGTTTCTCCTGGAGAAGAGGTTTTGGTGGGGACGGATGTGGCTTCGTGTTCTCGAAAGGCGTCTGCTAGACTTGGTCGTCTTGGTCCCTGAGGACAGAATCAGGAGTGAGAGGCAGAAGTTCCAAAGAGGCAAATCTAGGCTCAATTTGAGGACAAACTCCCTTGCCATCAGAGGTGGCCAGAGGGGAGGGGTAATGAATTCTTCTTTACTGGAGATTTTTCAGTCCAAGACTGGAGGGAGACGTTCTTGGCCAGGTAGGGGGCAGAGCCAATGGCCTCTGAGTCTGTGGCCCGGGGCCTTCCATGGGCGAGAAGCCTCCATTTGGAGCCCGCCTCCCCCTTCCCTGTGCAGCTCCTGAACCGGACCTTTATTTCCATGGACTTCAGAGACAGGAGCATCTGTGTGCTCATCTTCTTCGCTCACCTGCCTTCAGGATCCTGGAATGATGGGAATGGGCCTTGGCAGGAACGGGTTAAACCGGGAGCAGAATTCAGCTGCTTTCAATTGATGCCAATCTCGTCGCCTGGAACTTGGTATCCCTTCACTGCACGGTCACAAGGCCGGAGCAGCAAGGCACCTGAGTGAGAGGTAGCATGGCCAGACGAATTAGCCTCCCCTAGCCTGACCACTGTCTCCCCTCCCGCCGTGAAGGAGACAGCCTGGGACCCAGAACCCAAGAGCCTTGGGCAGAGTACTTCTTCCCGCTCAATGCCCGCAGGTATCACCCTGGGAAGCCCCCCTGCTCCTGCGGGTGTTGCCGAAGATCCAGAGAAGAAAGGCAGGTGGGCAGGTAGAAAAGAAACATATGATACAGACGTACATGTATTTATTAAGCACCTACTATGTATCAGACGCTGTGCTAAACACTACAACCGTATCTCACTGGATTATCTCACTGGGTCCTCACAACCTTGGGAGGTAGGTGTGATTAGTACCCCCATTTTACAGCTGAGGAAACTGAGGCAGACAATGATGAGGTGGCTTGCTCAGGGTACCCAGCTAGCAAGTGAAGCTGGTTTTGACCTCAGGTCTTCTTGACTCTAGGCCCAGGGCTTTATGCACAGTGTGCCAGGCCTTGGCACCGTCAAATGGGTCAACATCAGAAACTGATAGGACTTTGGTCAGTGGAAATGCTACTCCAGAAGAGGCCTGCCCCTAAGGACCCTGGGGCCTTTCCACCCGACTTGCAGCTGAAACCTTCTCGATGTATTGTCTCCCCCATCGTAATGTGGGCTCCTTGAAGGCAGGGTCTGTCTGGCTTTACTGTTTGCCCACTCAGTGCTTAGTAGGTGGGAGGCACTGAATAAATACTTCATTCGTTCATTCACATATATGTGTTTGTGCGCCTTGTGCTGGGCACAGCATTCGGCTTCATTCCGTGAGGGGCAGGAGGACGTTTTAGAAAGGACGTGAGCCTTGGGTGCGGAGGATCAGAGTGGAGGCATCTCCAGGGTAATGCCCCCGCAGAGGTCGTGCAGCACGTAGTTCGGCTCACACAGGAAGGGTCTTACCCAGGCCTCAGGCTCCCGTGCCTTTGCTCCCCCTCCCCGCAGCACTGGCTGTTCAGAGGAGCTGTCCAGCCCCTGTTCTGTAACTGTGTGCAGGCCCCTTTATTCCTTTGTTCCCTTGTTGGCAAACGAGGGCTTTGTCTTCCTCTGCCAGGGAGCGGTTGATAAATGTCTATTATGTGCCAGGCCCTGGGTGGGGCTCTGGGGGTTACCAGGACAGAGTGAGATAACGTCAGCCTTCCATGAGCTTTCATCCTTTTGTGGGGATAAGCGTATATCCATATATATAAATACAGGCTGCTTATGAAATAAGCCCAGGGCCATTTTTGGATAGGCCCTAGCAGCAGCAACCCAGGAGATCAGGAAAGGCTTCTTGTAGGGGGACAGTGCTTGAGCTGAATCTGGAAGGGAGCTAGGGCTTCTGAGGTGAAGGTGAAGGGGAGAACGTAGCTAGGCAGGGGCAGAGTGGGAGGTGGGGGTAATGACCTAGGCAAAGGCACAGAGATGGGAAATGGAATGTTGGGTAGGCGAATACAAGGAGGACAGTTTGGCTGGATCCTAGAGGGGAGTCTGTAGATGTGATCAGCCTGGAAAGGTAGGGTGGGGCCAGACTAAAAGGATTCGACTTTTATGTGCCCAAATGCTGAATGGGGGGAGGGTTTGTTGCAGGAGTGATAGGGAGCCACTGGACTGGAAACAAGTAGCACCTCCACGTAGGCATCCTTGTATCCACAGACATCTTGGTGAACCGGTAACCATAACAAGATGGAATCATAGGACTGGAAAAAAGAAGATGGATGGTCCCCCTGGCAAGGGAATGGATGGTGGAGGATGGCCCGAGTGTACCAGTATGTTCTGGAGACATGGAAGGAGGCCCCCAGGATAGGCCTTGTTGGAAGAACCCCTTCCCCCCATCACTGAGTGCACAGATTCGTTGGCGTGTTTGAGCCAAGTGTCCATAAACTACTTTGGAAATCTACATCATGTGGTCATTTTTAAAGGGAAAAAGTGGAAGATGCAACTGGCCAAACCAGTTTGGGAAAGAACGTTCTCTCTCATTTGAAAGAGAATCCGGTGCTCCCAAACACCAAGTTACTGGAGTCCAAAGAAATGTGTATTCACACTCCTTGCCCGATTAGCATTACAATTAAGTGGGAATATCAAAGAATTCTGAGTCGCTTGCAAAGCCTCTTTCTGGTTAGACAATAGTAATGTGAGTTAGTTGTTGAGTGACTGTAACACTAAATGTCAGCCACATGCAAGAATCTGTGGCAGGCACGGTATTGAATCAGGATGCCAGACTGTCGGCTTCTTTATTCTTCCTTTTCTTTTCCTTTTGCTAGGCAATGGAGTTAAGTGACTTGCTCAGGGTCACACAGCTAGTATGTGTCAAGTGTTTGGTCTGAGGCCGGATTTGAACTCAGGTCCTCCTGACTCCAGGGCCGGTGCTCTATCCACTGCGCCACCTACCTGCCCCTATTCTTCCTTTTCCCTTAGCAAACCTGTGGGTGTGATCGGCTGGCGCCGGTGGTCCAGGTCACGGTCTCTGAACAAGCAAAGTCAGCCGTGATCAGTGTCTGATTCCTCTCCAGCTCTGAGTCCTGTGACCCTGCTGGCCGCTTGGGGAAAGGAAGAATGGTCTGTCTGAAGAGGCATCCCGGCCCTAGGCAGGCAGAAATGACGTTGTGTGCGGCTGAGGGAGTGCGGGCAGGCAGGCAGAACTCCCCAGTGTCCCGAACACTTCTGTGTCTTCTGTTCACGTCACACTTGATCTGTCTTAGTTATCAGGGTGCCTGCTTTATTGGTCTGGCAGCTGATGAGCTCTTCAGGGCTTGAGTTCCCCTCCTGGACTCGCTCAGGTCCGTTACAGACGTGGTGCTCAGTAACACTGAAGGAGCGACTGACTGACCCCACAGCAGGCTTGCTTCTTGTCACCAGGCTGTCTAGTGACGGTTATTATTCCTCCCTCCAGCTCCTCCAGGGAAGGAAGGCAGGCTTCATTGGTAAAACCAACCAACACACCTGCTAGTGTGTGCACTGTTCCACAGCCACAGGCCCTGGCCTCTGCAGTGATGAGAAGGAGGTTTAGCTGCCCGTGCCTGATACTTTGCTTCACCAGGTATAGAATGTTCTTTGTATGAATCCTAATTAGCTGTGTGAACTGGGACAAATTCCTTTTCTAGGCCTTGGTTTTCTCTGCTGTAAGACGGTCCTGATAGTATGTGCATCATCTCACAGGATTGTTGTGAAGATTGTATTTCCTGGATCGTAAAACTCTATACCTCATTATTCTAAGACCTCTGACAACTCAGACTTGGCAGATAGAGTCATCTTTCGGAGTGATTTTCAAAAATTTAGACTCTTCTCTTTCCCTCCCCCACTCTTTCTTTTCTTGAAATGCTTTCTGTTGGGGCAATCCTCATCCATTTCCCATAATTGGTTTTGATTTGTTGTAGTTGACATTAGGAAAATCCCACACTGGCCTTGAGAAGTTTACTTCTTATATCCTGAAGGAAATGACCCAGGTTCCTTCCTCCCTAATTTATTGGATGGGGTAGTTCAGAATAGAGGATGATATGATGGCAAGCTGCAGCCTTTGTATTTGCGTAAGTGGAAGCTGTAATTAGCGTTGGGTTTTGCTTCTCCAGAGGCCAATTCGATGATGATTTAAGATAAGATTCCCAGGAGAGGAGGGGCTGTAGCAGCTTAGCACGTGTGGTACCAGCTGAAGAGAAAACACCACATGTTGCACTAATGGGTGCATAGAATGTATGGAAAACACCTTTTGGCCCTACTTTGAAATGCCATCTTGTTGTGAAAGTGACCCAAAGGCTAGGCCAGTGGAGTGCCAGTCTTCCTGGTCCTTCCAAGCTGGGCCTGGCAGTGGTGGGTGGTCGCCTTAAGAGTAGCTTACTCAAGCCTGGAAGGTTGACCAGTACTTGATGAGGCTTTTGAGGTTTTCAGCAGTTGGAGCTGATCCTGTGAGTGTGACCATCTGCCCACCATCCCCCTCCCCCAGTCAGAAGCCTCACCCGATTCCCCTCACATCTTGCTCTTAATGCACTGAGCATGGCATGTTGGCATATTTTATGTTAGAGTTATCACTGCCTGCTAGACTGTAAGCTTCATGAGGGCAGGAGTCATGCATTATCTAAATTTGGTGACTTTCCTATTGAAATGTTCCATGTGCAAGCATGTTTAATAGATATTGGCTGAGTCCTTGAATGAATACTGTAAACTCTTTCTTGGGATATATGATTTTTCTTCCTTATTTTATTGTTGGGGCAGTGCGGTATGGGGATAGAGGGCTGGCTTTGGAGTCGGGCCCACCAAAGTTTGAGTTCTGCCTGGCCCATACTAGTGAGGTGACCTCATGTGAGTCATGTGGTCACTCTAGGCCCGGGACAGCTTTCTAAGGCTATGAATCATAGAGAGTTCTAGCTCAGCACGGGTGGAAGGCATTTCCACACCCCTGAAGTCACCCTTCCCCCTCACAAGAAGTTCTCACCTGCTGAGCACTGAGACATTTTTATTTATCTCACTGGCTGTCCTCTCTTCAGTGTATATTTAACACTGGAAGCAGGTGCTATTTTGTTTTCCATTGAAATGAGGGTGGTGAATGTGGCGGCACACCGCCGGGGGCTTTGGGCGAGATTGGATTCTGGTTGTTATCATTCCTACCAAACAAGTCTCGAGTTTAGTCAGGCTTTGCAGGGGATGCTTCCGGCCTGAGAAGGTTACATGATGTCTAGTTCAGCCAACTGGGTCACCGAATGAGGTGAATTTCTTCGTGATTGTTTCGTGTGGGGAAGGGCGTGACAATGTGTAATGAGAACGTAGGCGAGGAGCCAAATCGCTTTACCACCTGAGTTGTGAGGTAATTCCTTAGAAATACCGGGAACTTCGTGAAACCGATTATGTAGGAAAACAGCTCTTAGTAGCCGTGTGTCATACCTGAGGAGAAGTTTTGGCCCCTGGGCCCTTTTGACACCTGTGTACAGTCATGTCCTCCTTTCTCCACGGGTGCCCGTGCGCTTCCTCTGGTTTTTGTCTTCCTGTTCCACTCTTGTCCTCTTTCGAGTTTCCCAGTCAGCGTGTATGTTTTCCCCAGGGTTCCTCAAAAATCAGCGTGTCTCCTTGCTCTCATTCTGTAAGGAATCTCACCAAGAAGCTATTCCTTATTCCTTTTGCCCTCCAAGAATTCTGCTGATGCCCAGGGATGGGTTTCGATTCATCCTGTGGTCTAACACCTTAGGGCTGATGGAGGCCTAACTTGTGGTGTCCTGAGCCCTGGCATCTGATAAATGCTGAGCCGATTGAATCTCAGCCCTTTCAAGTCAACGGGCATTTCTTAGTTACTTATTCTGTGACCTCTTCGGGGTGCTGGGGGTCCGAAGGTAGAAAGAAAGTAGCTGAGCCCTGAAGAATACTAAGGCCCTTGCCCTCAGAGAGCGCAGAGTCTAAGAGAGAAGAAGACACAAGGCCCCCATTAGGTGAGGATTGTTTTTTGTGTCAGCTCAGGACAAGGGCTAAGAGAGGCCCAAGGGAGCGCCGGGGATTTCAGTCTGCGTGCACTGGCTGACCTTGCCCACTTCGCCATGCCCCTGCCCTGGGCTGTGCCGCTGGTGGCCGAGGCCCTGGCTGGGGTCTCCATCTCCTGTGGGCCCCCAGCCAGGCTGCACTGTGCTCTGCCTCCTCGCCGACAGCCTGGCCCCAGGGGATCCTCTCTCCTTGAGCCCGTTTCCCAGCTGCCTGTTGTCTTCTCCAGAGCAGGGACAGTGCTGCTTCATTGTATTCCTGTCCCCAGCACTTAGCACAGTGCCTGGCCCAGAGTAGGTGCCTCCTAAATGCTTTCTGTGTGTCTGTGTGTCTTCTGCGGCTTGGGCCACTTCCCAGGTCAGCTGCATCAATTCCTTTACACCCAGTCATAGGATCAAAGATTTATTTTGAAGGAAGGACCCTAGAGATGGTTTAGTCCAACCCCCTCACATTCACAGATGAGGAAACTGAGGCCCAGAGAGGAGAAGTGACTTGCCCAGGGTCATACAAGTAGAAAGTGTCTACGCTGGAAATGGAACCCAGGTCTGCTGGCTGGCTTTGGAAGCCATCTCTTTCCACCATTTCATGATGCCAAGGAATGACCATTAATCTTTTTATTTTTATTTTTTTTTGATGGAGCTCTGCTTTGAAAATGAGTAATACATCCCTAGGATATTTGTCACGAGAGATCTTGGTGTACTCAGTTGACTTAGATCGTTTACCCTTTGGCCGAGCCCAGTACGCATGATTCATTACGGGACAATTTGATTTGTTGTTGGACTGGGCCAGGTGGGAGGCCTGTGCTCATCCCTTAGTACAAGAAGTCTCATGCCACTGACAGGACTGGGAATAGGGATGATTTCTTGCCCCTCCCCCCAACCATACAGCAATCATTTCCCTCCTGTATCCTATTGCTTTCCCTTCACTTTGTGCTTTGTCTGTGGGGATGGGTAGGCAGCTTGTCACACCAGGCCACTCCAGGCCCAGGGCCAGCCAGCTGGTGGGTTGCTTAGGAGATCTCTCTCCTAGATTCAGTTCTTGGCCCATCTCCAGGGTCTTACCTTTTGATCATCTACAGTCTTTTGCAGCTAATCTCCGGAATTTGGAAGAGCAGAGAATGGCAGTGATTGCCCCCTTCTTGTCTGCTGGTCTCCTTCCCTTCCCTCATACTTGCCTTGGGAGACTTTCAGAGTTACATCCAGGTGCTTTGTGAAGCTGAGTTGAACCCAGTGGCTTGGTCTCACGTCCTATCTGGGAGAGCCTGGCACAGGCTAGGAAGGCTGAGGTGCTCATTGAGTCCTGATGAATTAAGCTAATGCCTGCTGAGGAACATGCCATCTCTGAATTATTGGGGAGCCCATCATGCCTCTTGGCCACTCTCCTCACCCCTACTTCCTGAAGCCTTTCTCCTTTATTTCCCCTTCCTCCAGCTGGGCTGGCAAGAAACCAGCCAGAGTCTGGAGATGGCTTTAAGGAAACGCTGGTCATTGAGGAGGTGCAGGCCCGAAACTTGGAAGGGACAGCAAACATTTAATAAAGAGTCATGAAGCACCTACTGCATATAAGGCCTTGTACTTGGAGCTGTAGACGTGAGGGGATAAGGAGCTAGCATCTAGCTGGAAGAGGAGCTGTGGGCACGTGCTTCTTATTCAAATTGGAATGAGGCAGATGAACTGTATTGGCCACACAAGGGTCTGAGGGCTTGCCTCCCCTTCCTTTGTCCAGTCTCCACTCCTCTGGGGGCGGGCAGTATTGGGAATGTTGTGGACGGAATTTGTGTTGAGTGTAGACAGAATGGGACTTGAGCTCGAGAGGAAGGTCACCAAGACTCTTCCAGATCCAGGGAGACTGGGAGGGAGGGGAAGGAGGGAGGGACCCCACCTCTAGCAAGGGCAGGTCTCAGCATCAAGTGCAGGAGAGGCTACATTTATCCTGCTCAATCCCACTGGAGGAAAGTTTCAGGATTTCAGCTCAGCATAAGACCGAAAGGCCAAAGCTTCCTGTTAAAGGTGTCCCAGAGGGGAATGCATTACCTCGAGAGGCAGGAGAGGCCTAGGGCAGTAGCAGGAGCTTAGGTTCTGGGGCCAAGGACTTGGGTTCCTGTCCCTGCTCTGCCATGGCCCTGCCCCTCTGGTGTGTCATATGGGGGAGTCCCACCCGAGGGCCTCTGGGGTGGGGTGCAGCTTTCCCTCTTCCTTGCTAGCAGCCCTTCGGAATCTGCAACATGAGGTCTCTCCTTGGTGTCATGGTCAGGCAGAAATGGTCAGCCTGTGCTGGGCTGGGCGCGTACTCTGGCTGGAGTCACTGACGGGAGCTCAGTCTTCACTTCCTGCTTTTGGGAGAGTGTCTGCCCATCAGTTTTGCTACCGAGCCCTCTGAGTCACTTCTGGTGGGCCCTTTTGGCCAGTCCTTGGACTGTCATGATGTTCCTGTCCAATAGCTGTGGAGGGTACAGCGTCCTCCTTTTAACTGACCTTCCTTCTGACCAGCAGCCCGGTGCCATTGCTGGTGGTGTGCTGGATGTGGTAGGCAGAGCTTGCTCTCAGTTAGCACGGGACAGTTGTTGAGGGCAGGAGTGATCAGCATCCGTTGGGGTCCCAGGTGAAGGAGAGTGCAGATCTGGCCACCCACCCTTACGTGTGGTTGAGCCACTGATGTGGCTGAGGAACAATTTTAGAAATTTGATGTTTCCCTAGGAAGTTACTGTTATTGCCACTTTTCCTTAGGGCGGAATCCTCGAAGCCGGGTTTCAGCAGTTGGGTAGTGTAGGGGGCCGTGGGGAAGGAGACAGAGGCTTTTACTTCTTTGGACACAGAGATCCCATGCTCTGTGGGGCACGTGCTGTCTTCCTTTTGTATTTCTGTCTAAGCACTGAGTTCCTTTTTTGTAATTGCGTCTCTGTATCTTCAGAGGTTAGCGCGGTAGAACAGTGGGTACAATATTGCACGGAGTTAGGAGGACCTGAGCTCAAATGTGGCCTCGGATACTTACTAGCTACGTGATCCTGGGCTAGACCCTTAATCGCTGTCTGTTTCCTCATCTGTATAATGGGGATAATTATAGCACTGGTCTCTTAGAGGTAACACATATAAAGTACTTTGCAAGCAAACCTTTAAGTGCTATATAAATACTAGCTCTTCTTGTTATTAATAATGAACGGTCTTGCTTCGCGTTTGGTGAATTCAATATAAATCAATCAGTTATCTAGCATGTATGAACCGCCTACTGTGTGCCAGGCACCGTACCAGGCTCTGGGGGCACAAAGAATGGCACACGCCAGACCCTGCTCCCGAGGAGGTTCACAGTCTGGGGGGGAGACCTCTTCCAAACAGCTTGGTGCAAATAAGAAATGTATCGGACAAACTGGCTGAGGTGAGAGAGGACTTGGAGAGGCGTCTGGCAGAAGCTGGGATGTCAGCTGAGACTTTAAGCAGGAAGCCTGGCACCAGGAGGCAGCAATGCGGAGGGAGGGAGGGCATTCTCGGGATAGGAAGCAGCGGGTGAAGGTGAACGGTGATGCTCAGAGCCCAGAGCGGCGGAGGGGGGATCACGTGGGAGGGACAGCAAGGAGACCACTGGGACCGGAGAAAGGTGTGAGGAGACTGGAAGGGAAAAAGGGGGGGATTTCACGTTTGATCCTGGAGGTGACGGAAGCCACTGGAGTTTATGGAATGGGGTGTGTGTGTGTGTGTGTGTGTGTGTGTGTGTGTGTGTGTATGATATGGTCAGTTGTGTTTTAGAAAGATCATTTTGATATTTCTGAGTGGAGGTTGGGCTGGAGTGTGGAGACACGTGAGGCAGCCGACCCCCTCCCCCAGCAGCCGTTGCCGTAGCCCAGGCAGGAGGGGATGGGGCCTGCACCGGGGTGGGGGCTGGGGCAGAGGAGAGAGGGGATATTGAGAAGGAGAAATCAACAAAATGTGCCCACTGATCAGATGTGGGGGGTGAGCCTGGGTCACCAGGGGGATGATGGAGCCCTCGACAGTAATAGGGAGATTTGGAAGAGGAGAAGGTTTGGGGGGGAAGAGCGTGAGGTTAGTTTTGTACTTTGAGTTTCAGATTCCTACAGGACATCCAGTCTGAGATGTCTAAGAGGCAGCTGGAGATGGGAGACTGGAGGTTAGGAGAGTGTCTGGGGCCAGACAGGTCAGTCTGAGAATCATCAGCATGGAGGCGGTAGTTGAAGCCATGGGAGCTGATGGGATCCCCAAGTGAAGTAGCCTAACATGCGGCTTTACTGGAAAACTTTTGAGTTCCAAATTCTATCCTTTCCTTCCTCCCCCTCCCCCTCCTTGAGATGGTAAGCAATCTGATAGAGATTGTAAATGTGCAATCATATAAAACATTTCCACATTAGTCATTTTGTGGAAGAAAACCCAAACCAGAAAAAAAAAATGAAAGAAGGTGAAAAATAGTCTGCTTCGATCTGCATTCAGACTCATCGGTTCTTTCTCAGGAAACGGCATTAGTGAAGGTGTCTAAAGGGAGAAGAGAAGAGGGCCCAGGCCAGAGCTTGGCGGAACCACCAGGGTTAGCAGGTGTGCCCTGGGGAAGATCCAGTGAAGGGGCCTGAGAGGGAATGCTCAGAGATGTAGGAGGAGACCCAGGAGAGAGGGTCACTGAAACCCAGAGAGGAGAGGCTGATTAACCGGGTTCAAGGCTACAGAGAGGCCCAGGATGAGGGCTGAGGGTGGAGAAAAGGCCACTGGTTTTAGAATGGAAATGAATAAAAACTGTCCAGTTGTGAGCCTTCTGCTAGACTTCCTGCTCCATGAGGGCAGGGCTGTGGGTAAGGAGCTAGGAGGGAGCTGACAGTGCTTTGGAATCAGAGGATGTCCGTTCAAAACCTGCTTCTGATGCTCACCCCCCATCTGCCCTAGACCAGTTTGTGAGCACATCTGTAAAAGAAAGGGGTATGGGCTGTGGCTGTGTGGCTTCCTTTCCAGCTCTCCGTCAGTGATGCTATTTAAACTGTATCTCTGCCAGTGTGAGTGGCAAAGTGGCTTAGGAGACAGAAGCCTGTCCCCTGACCCAGGAAAGCCTGGGTTTGAGTCCTCACTCCCTGTGACTCTGGGAGCTCTGGGCCAGAGGGCTCAGACCCACAACGCATGGACCACAGGCAGCCAGTCACGCTCCTGAGTGCCGCCAGAACCAGATTAAAACGTTGTTGGAAAATATTTAACAAAATAAATAAAAATCCACTAAGACATGTAATGTTACGTGTTAGAAGTCGGTCAACATTGGCTCACGGGGATCCTTCAGTATCTACCTGTGGCCCCTTGAGTTGGACATCCCTGCTCTGGATGACGCCTGAAGGCGCTAAGCTGTGGCCCTGGCTTAGGAGAGGGAGTTTCCATATCTGGGAGTTCACATTCCCCAGACTGATTAAATTGTCGGGCTAGTCCTCAGACGTGTCTGCCAGCACAAGTGTTCTTTTGAACACAGGAGGCGCTCAGGCAGTCTTGGGCATTTTTTGTTTTGAATTTCCAGGCCTGAGCATGCGTCTCCTGTTCATCCCAGCAATGATGTCTTTGTGCCTGGTGGTTCTGGGGTGCTTGGTTGTATGGATCGTTTGTATGGAGGCCGATCGAGAGCAGTCGGCCCTGGACAAAGGAGCAGGAAGACCTCTGTAGGATACAGGCACAGGTGTCCTAAAGAAGGCATTTCCTCCCTTTGCTGCCAGTAGCTGAATTGTCAAAAAAAGTCCTGCTTACAGATGTTCTTCCTTTTCCATTTCCTGTCCCTGTTTTGTAGCTTTTGGGCTTTTGTTGTTTTTTTGGGAGGGGGCAGAGATGGTCCTTTTTCCTGAACCTCTAACATGTAGTATCCAGTTGTTCTGATTTGGATTTATGAGAAAGGGGAGGCCTGCTGGTGATTCCCGATGTTGCCGGCTTTGGGGAAGCAGATGTTCCAGTGGTCTAGGAAACAACTCGGAATAGTTGGATCTTGGTGGGCCTCCCCCACCTCCATTGTTGGTGTGGCTGGGGGGGAGAGATTCTCTTGGGTGATAATAGTGAATGATGCGGGGATGAAGGGTGAGTCTTTGACTTGTGCTGGATTCTGCTGCGAGTTGCTGGAGGTCTTTGAGGTCATCGTGCTGAATGTACGGGAAGGAGTCTGGCTTTGAAGGTGACTCATGATTTTTGTCTTCCAGAGGCTGAAGCTCAGAGTGACTCATCATGTCCCAGTCAGGAGATAAGAAGGTAAAAGTCTTTGTGTTTTGTAATTAAATGTTGGAAAAGTGTATTCTGTCACTGCAAAGCTAGAACTTTTCCAGAGATGTCACTGATCTGAACTAATCTCTGAAGTTGCAGTGGTTCTGATAAAACTTAGAACCTTATGACGCGTGTCGTAGGTCTGCATATTATTAGAACGATAGAGATTCAGTGGAGAGAGACACACTTTTCTTTTTCCTTTAGTAGGTAGAGTTGTTGTAGATTGCAAAGGTAGAAAGATTAAGAAAAAAAATCTTTTGACATAAAGAGTCTTATAGACATTTCCCAAAGAGAATGAAAGAAAACTTGTCATTGTTTTATAAATTAAGTATCTGTGTACATTGATTTTCCGACACACCTATTTGCTGTTTTCAATAACGGACCGTCCAGCTCTTTGCTTTCAGGCTGGAAGCTCTCTGTGGCTGTTGTTTCTGAGTGTGTTCACCAGGTGGGTGCCAGAGCTCTTCAGGGAGCAGCCTGAGTTATAAGAGGCAGTGCAGTATAATGGGAATGGAGTCAGAAGACCTGGGTTCGAATTCTGGCTCTGACACTTACAGGCGAGGTGATTGTGAGTGGGTCTTTGACCCTTTCTCAGAGTCTGTCTCCTCATCTATGAAATGGAGATGTCCATTGCTTTCCCTCTCTCCAAGGGTTAGTATAACAAATGCTTTGTAACTCTTGAATCCAGGTAGAAATGTGAATTACCATTTCTGTTACTGCTGCTTATCTTTGCCTGTTAGGACGGGAGCGCTGGACTGTGGCTTACCGTTCAGCCGCTGGAGAGGACCTTGCTTTGTGAGACTTGCATTTTTTATTTGCAGGTTTAATCCCTGGAGCCTCTGCAGATCTGTGGGGTTTTTAAACTCTCCTCCCCTCAATTTGGTTCCTGGTCCTTGTGGACAAAGGGCAGCTCAGGTCACATCTCCTCTCCTTGAATTGCCTTCGTTTTGCCCAGGATCTGGAGGTTGTGGCCCCAGGAACTTTGGGGGCAGCTTGCTGGGCCGGGGGCAGCAGCCCCGTCACGCTGCAGTTTCCTGACCTCCAGACTTTCCTCTGTCGGTGATTCCCTCCTGTCTCTCATGGAGTACATGAGGAAGTCTTTTTTTTTTTTTTTTTCGTATTTTTTACTTTATTTTTTTATTTTTAAGAATTTATTTAATATTTTATTTTTCTCCAATTTTACATAAAAACAATTTTTAACATTCATTTTAAAAACCTTGAGTTCCGGATTCTCTCCCTTCCTCCCTCCCCACCCCCCTCATCGAGAAGGCGAGTAATTTGATATAGGTTATGCATGTATAGTCATTGAAAATATATTTCCATATTAGTCATGTTGTGAAAGAAAACATAGACCAAAAAAAATGTTCAAGAAGAATAAAGAAAGTCTGTATTCAGACTCCAGCAGTTCTTTGTCTGGGAATGGAGAGCGTTTTCACCCCAAGTCCTTCCGAGCTGTCTTGGATGATTGCGTTGCTGAGAATGGCCAGGTCATTCACAGCTGATGGTCACCCGGTGTTGCTGCTACTGTGTACCCAGGACATTTCACTTTGCATGAGCCCATGCAAGTCTTCCCAGGTTTTTCTGAGAGCTCCTGCTCATCATTTCTCAGAGCACCATAGCATTCCATCACAATCACATTCCGCAGCGTGTTCTGCCATTCCCCAGCGGATGGGCCTCCTATACTGCAGACCTCACAGCTTCCCCCCCAGGGTTGCCGTGGAGAGGTGATGAAATTTGTCTCCTGGAGGAGGCTGCCTGGGTAGTCCTTTTCCTGCCCCCGTTTTTGCCCCTTTGTATCCAGCCTTGTTAACTAGCACTGTCCTTCCTGGGTCTCTTCCCAACCTCCCCCTGCCCTCCCACGGTGCCTCGGGAGCCCTTGTCCTCCTGGTAGCAGACCGTCATCTTCTCATCCTCCTCCATCTCTTTGCGATTGCAGAAACCTGGCCATCCCTGAAGACCCTGCAGGCCCGACCGCCTTGTCCTTTCTCTCCTAGCCCTGATGCTGTGGGCCAGGAGGGGAAGGAGGCAGCATGTGCCTTGTTGCTCCCTGCCACAGCCAGCCCTCCAGACCTCCCTTAGCTGGAATGTTGTACCCACACCCGCTGGCTGCCTCCGTCCAGTACGATTTTGAGCATTATGTGGCTGGAATCCACATGCCCCCAGTTTTCTGTTTTACCAGAGGCTCTCCTGCCCATGTGGTGATGGGATGAGTCATACTTGGTGAATGGAACAGGGAGAGCCGGGGGTGGGCATCCATCGGTGGCTGTGGGGGGAGAGCCTGGGGAAGGCTGGCAGGGGAGGGCGGGCACGAGGGGAGCAGTGGTGCAGCCCCCAAACGCCCTGCCTGGTTGGAGGAGCCTGGGTTTGTCTTGGTGAGACCCCACTCACATGGCACGTGAAACAGATGTCCTTAGGGCTGTCGGGGCATCGCCCTCGCGCTGACCTCTGTGTGCTGGGGATATTGTGTCCTTCTAATTAATTCAGTCTTCTTTTCCAGCTTCCTTCTGAGACGGTGGGCTACGTGGGATTCGCCAATCTGCCGAACCAGGTGCACAGGAAGTCTGTCAAGAAGGGTTTTGAGTTCACCCTCATGGTGGTTGGTGAGCCCTTTTCCTGGCCTTCCACTTTCAGGACCGATTTAGATTCAGTTCTAATTAGAATGAAACATTCCCCAAGACCTGTTGCTATCAGGGTGGCTGCAGTGCCAGGACCGAGCCCGCTGTGATGGTTCTCTGAAGATTTATCCTTCCTCATACTCTCAATTGTTCATATTAAATTTAGACTAGACCCTCTTATTAATCACGAAGCAGGCGTGTATGAAGCCTGGATCGTGTGTTAGGCACGTGCTGAGGAGTGGGGCACGAGGGCTCAAGTGAACCAGTGGCTGTGCTCAGGAAACGTTCCTTTGAGTGGGGAGGACCACATGCACCTGTGGAAGGTGTAGAGATGCTGGGCACCATGAACGCCGGGGCTCTGGGGAAGGAGTGCGATGGCAGCTGGGGGGATGCCAGGGTCTGCATCTTGGAGGAAGAGAGGTGAGAGGGAGTGTGTGCGTGATGTGGGGGGCAGCCGGTGCAAAGGCGTGGAGATGGGAGATCCGTGGGTGTGAGGGATAGCAGGTTTGCTGGTGTGACTGGATTGTAGAGTGTGGAGAGGGGATTAGTGTGCAGTCAGGCTGGAAAGGTGGGAAGGGGCCAAGTGGTGACGAGCCTGCAGAGGTATTCACGTGGGATCCTGGGTCTCATCTGACTTTGGCCTCCACCGAGGTTCTCCCCTCATGCGTCGTGGGGGGTTGGAGGTGACTTTGGCCCCCCAGTGTTAACCTTGGCAGCTCTCCCATGGGGAAAGGCTCTGTGGACACACCTCACAGGGGGGCTGGGTGCTGGGTGTCGGGTGCCCTGAGGGCCAACCTGGCTGACCATGGAAGAGAGTATATCTGTCTGTCGGGGGTAGATATCTTGGAGAGATCCAGGAAAAAGTGTTATGGGAACCTTAAGAAGGAAGAGAGAACTCAGGGGGGCTTTACGGAGGAGGTGACATCTGAGGCGAGCCTTGATTGATGGCGGGGAGGGATTTCTGTAGCTGGAGATGGAATTATGCGGCGGCGGCGGGGAGTGGTGGTGTCCATTCCAGGCATGAAGGAGTGGTATGAGCAGAGGTGGAGAGGCAGGATAGGGACAGATGAGGATGGTGGGTGGAGAAGGGTCCAGAGATGTGAAGGGGACCAGTGCAAGGTAGGGGCTGCACAGGTAGAGGGCAGGTAGAGGCAATTGAGGAAGGCCTTGAATGCCAGGGCCAGGAATGGATAGACTTTTAAGAGGTGTTCTAGGGCTTTTGACAGAGGACGCCTGTGACCCTAGAGGGGCAGCAGGAAGCTTACTCGGGTAGCTCAGAGGAGGTGCTGGAGACGAGAGAGAGGGGAGGCAAGAGGCCCGGAAGTGCTAAGGCCCTCAGCGAGGCCAGCGCCTCCCCATTCCTCCTCATTTGGGTCGAATGTTAGGCCACAGGAGGCTGGAGGCAGAGGTGAGGCCCCAGGCAGCTGGCAGAAGGATGGAGGTGAAAACAAGTGCAGTGAGCTGGTTAGCCAGGACATCAAACGGTGTTAAGGCCAGGGGAGTCGTGGCCCTAGGCCTTCTCCGATGTGGCTTCACCCTCGCAGAGAGATGAGCGTCATCATCCTGTTTAGATGGATGCCCTCAGGAGGCTCCATCGTGCTGAACCCAGACCAAGCGTCTCTGGATCTCTCTTGGAACCTCTGCTTCAGCAGACTTGGGTCCAGGGCTTGCTCCCTGAGGGAGAGAGGGGGGTTCTCTGGAGACCCCAGACCCAGGCGAGCTTATGCCGCCACATCCGTGAGGATACAGAGTGAGGAGAGGGGCATGTAGACAACTCCAGGGCTGCCCGGGCCTCAGGGAGGCCCCAGCGCCCAAGCAGGACTTCAGGGCCCTCCAGATGGAAGGCCTCTTCTTTGAGGACTGTCTTCTCACTGCACCACCTGCTTCTAAATCGCCTGGGGGAGCAGCTGCTTGTCCTGTTGGGGAGGGTTTGCTTTGTAGACACAGTCAAAAATAGCTTACAGCCAGTTCTGATAAACAAGATTGGAGATCAAACGAGGCAATACTGGTTTTGATTTTTTAAGAAGGAGGCGTGTCTCCAGGAGTAACGGGGCTGTTTTTCCTCTCTGTGTCCTGCATGGGCTCCCAAGGTGGATTCCAGACATACTTCAGGCTGTGGCTCCTTGGTTAGAATTAAGGGTTGAGCCCAGCCCGAGGTCTTGGAGAAGAGTGTGCCTGTGGGCATCAGAATTCTGGTCTCTTTGCTTGAGAAAACAAACCACCTACAAGACAACATCTCACAAGGATTGATTAGGGGACCTCGAGGTGTTCAGTCCACAGAGGAGAAGCCAGGAGGCACAGGAAAGCTCTTGGCTAAGAATCTGGAGGCTTCTAGGGCTACGTGGTCCCACGGCCCCCGCCAACAGCATGTCCCAGGGCCGAGGGGGCCGTGGGGGCCGTGGCAGGGGCAGTGAGCTCCTTGGCCCTGGGGGTCTGCAGGCAGGTGGGGATGTTCTGGAGGGGGCCGTGACCTCTGAGGGGTGTGATCTCTTTGTACCTTGTCCTGAATCAGAGGAAGTCATGTCAGTTGTGTTTAAGATGGTTTATACAAAGGAATCCAAGCTTAGGTTTGATTTCCTGCCGGGGCAGGCCGGGGCAGGGGAGACTTCAAAGTCCACAGTGAAGGTGCATGTGAGTGATGGGGCTTCTGAGTGCCCCCTGCAGCCCTGGCCAGCCAGTCTAGAAAACCCAACCAGTCCTTGGGAGGGCTCCTGGATCAGCCCTTTGGGCTTAATCAGTCACACTGAGCATCTTGGTGAAATGTCTGTCTAGGTAGACACTTGAAGCTCTCCCGCTCTGCTCTTTTGGGTCTCCCTCATGGCTGTGGAGGCAGCCCTCCAGTGGGGAGGGGTCTGCATTCCCTGCCTGCAGCTTGGGGGCGGGTGCAGGGGCATACTGAAGAAAGCAGTATACTGAACTGCCGGTTTTACTTCTAGGTGAATCTGGCTTAGGAAAATCCACCTTGATTAACAGCCTCTTTTTGACTGATCTTTATCCAGAGCGATACATTCCGGGAGCTGCAGGTATGTGGGACACGGGCCTGTGTTTGTTGATTCAGGCCAGTGGGCGTGAAGGCTTGCGAGCAGAATGAGTCTGAGCCCTGCCTGCCGGTCCAGTGATGTGGCCAGTGGTCAGGCCACGGGCTTTGCCTGAGTCCCTCCTCCGGGGCCTCTGGGAGGTGAAGACCAGGATTGCCCAACTTCTGGCGGGCGTGTATGTGTGTGTGTGTGTGTGTGTGTGTGACAGAGTTTAGTTCTGGGGAACAGCCCAGCCTCCAGTAGAGGCCTGGGTTGTTGGAGGGGACCCCCTTGGGAATGTACAGCGCTGAAGGCAGCCCATTCTTTGTGCTGTCCAGGTTCTTGTTCCGTGGGCGGGCCTCTGGTAGCCTGGTGGGCATGCCCTCTGCTTTTTTGTGCATTTGGGGTTAAGTGACTTGCCCAGGGTCACACCACTGGTAAATGTCTTGGGCTGACTTTGATCTCAGGTCATCCTGACTCGAGGCCCCAACTGTGCCACCTAGCTGCTCCCATGCCCTCTGTTCTTGAGGAGCTTACTACGGTCAGGGGGGAGCTGGTATGTCCTGACTGGCCCCCGTGGCCTGGCCCTGGCCCTCTTCCTCTGACTGGGAAGGCCATCTAAGGTGGTCTGCTAGGACAAGGCTGGGGGGAGGGGCCAGAAAAGGGGGTGTGTGTGGGTGGGCTGAAGACTTCAGGCCCCCTGGCTTCCTGGAGCACATACGAGAGTGATCAGCTGCTCCTGGAGGACTGCATCCTCTCGTCCATAGAATCACTTCCCCACTGAGCAAACACAGCCATTTAAGGAGAAGCCCAGTGTGTTCTGTGTGTGGGCCACTGGGTGGTGCCATGGAGAGGGTGCTAGACCTGCAGTCAGGAAGATCTGAGTTCTAATCCTGCCTCAGACACATCCTAGCTGGGTGACGCTGGACCAGTGTTCCCCTCTCTGGGCCTCAGTTTCTTCATCTGTGGATGCGGGTAATAATAACACCTACCTTACAGGATTGGTGTTTACACACGCTAAGTGCTTTGCACAGTTAGAGGGATCCTGAACTACTCAGGTCCTTCCCTGGCTGTTTGGATCATCATGAACCTTATGTGTGCAGTTTGCCTGCTAGGCTCGCCCTCCGTCCTTGGAGGACTCCCTCCCTGCAGGGGCTCGTCTTGGGATGGCCGGCAGCCAGCCAGGACAGCCTTTGGCCAGACGCCCCCGAGGCCTGTGCTGCCGAGGCCCTGGGGGGCTTTGCCAGGGCCCGCAGAGTCAGCCTGTTAGAGAGGCAGTGCTTTTGTCCTGGCTCTAAACTGTGAACTGCCCATTTCTATCCCAGAGAAGATCGAGAGAACGGTTGAGATTGAAGCTTCTACGGTAGAGATTGAGGAGCGAGGAGTGAAACTCCGGCTGACGGTGGTCGACACGCCGGGATATGGAGATGCCATCGATAGTCAAGACTGGTACGTTGAACTGGGCGTGGCGGATGCCAGGCCCAGAGGCGTCCCGCAAGGACCCACCCTGTGTGCCAGGACCCAGGGCACAAGGACAGGCAGAGGCCTCTCGTCTCAAGGAGCTCACCCTGCCCCCCATAGGGGCATCTCTCCACCGGAGAGATCGCCTCTCACTTCACCATTTGGTATTCTTCACTGGTTTGGCCTGGCTGCCTAGTCTAACAAGTGAGGGCCTAAAGACAAAGTATTGATGAAAAGGGGGATTTTAGGCGGGGCAGGTCTGTAAGTGGGGCCTCTTCCAGCTGGTCGCCTTCCCTGGGGATCGCTTCTGCTCAGTGTTTCACTCCTTTGGCTCCCGTCGCCCTTGTCTCCCCAGTACGGAGGGGAGTGTTAGTGCTGCAGGACGCTCCCTTCTGATGAACCCCGTATGCTTTTTGGACTGCTCGCTCAAAAAGGCAGAACCGGGGGCGGGGGCAAGGTTGCAGATTCCACCGTGCAGAGAAAACGCTTCTACGGCTCCATCTGCCCAGCAGAGGCCTCAGGGCCAGGCCGGGAGGCCCCTAGTCTGGCTGCCCAGGTACAGACTGGACCCGCGGCCTGTGAGGTCCCTTTCAGTTTGGAGACGCCATGAGTCTGTGTCTTCCTGGAGGCGCCACAACTGTGTGTGTGTCGCTGAGGAAAATGAGCAGAGAGGTGGAGAATGGGGGAGGGGGGCTAGGCCGGGCCTGCCTGGGGGCCTCTGCAGCGTGTGAGACAGTAGCAGCATCAGGGGCTCAGTCAGACAAGCTGCCCTGAGTACTTATTAAGTGCCTACCTTGTGCCCTGGAGGAGCTTATGTTCATTGGTGCAGCTCTCTCTCTCTCTCTCTCTCTCTCTCTCTCTCTCTCTCACTCACACACACACACACACACAACTAGCTGTATACCAAATGCATATCAATGAGGTCCAGAGCAGCCTTGGCAAGGAAGGCATGAGCCACCGAGGGCTGGCCACGGCCTCCTGTGGCACACGGCACTTGGACTCAGTTTGTGAAGAAGCCAGGAATGCCCAGAGGATGATTTGAGGAGAGGAAGCATTCTAGTCATGGGTGTCAGCCAGTGCTTAATAATAATAATGATGATGATGATGATGGTGATAAACATTTCTGTAGTGCCTACTACATTGTGCTAAGGTGAGGAAATGAGACAAATGGTGAAGTGACTTGTCCAGGGTCACACAGCTATTAGCTGTCTGAGGCCAAATTTGAACTCGGGTCTTCTTGATTCCAGGCCTGGTGCGCTATCCATTATGACGCCACCTAGTGGCAAGACACAGGAATTAATAGTTGATCCCAGAGAATTCCTAGAGAGGCACAACTCAGTAAACTTGAGTTGTTTTACTTGTTGTTGGTGACCAGCTTTTAATTATACATTTTTACCTTCTGAGACAGGCTATCCATCACCACATGGTTGGGGTTCAGCTGTCCCAATGTTATTTCAGTGGTGCAGTAGAGCAATATAGCAAAGTCTTTCAAATTTAGCAACTCAAACCAAGAACAGCTTAATTTGGGAAAACCCCGATGCCTTATGATAATGGTTCATTTTGACATTGTTGTTAAACTTGAGTTTGTTGAGTAGGGGAGCGTTGTGACCAGATCTGCGGGATGGATCAGAGGAAGGGAGGCCAATGGGGAGACCAATGGGGAGGCCCCTGTCCCGGTCCCGGGGACGCAGGAAGGTCTGTGTGAGGGGAAGGAGGTGGCAGGGATAGAAATGTCACCATTGGCCGCGGATCAGCCATGTGAAGCGATGGGGGACGGGGAGAGTCCGGCGCAGCCTCAGCAGCAGCCGGGGAGCTCAGGAGCCCCGGGAGGTTGGGAGGAAGGTGGATGAGATTGGTTTTGGATGTCCCGCACCAGCTGGGGACACGCAAGCCTGACTCAGATGGGAATTGTCGCACTAAGGCTTGTCCGGCCTTGGGCAAACACCTGAGGTGGATGGTGAAAGTGTGGAGGCCCTGAGGACCAGAGAAACTAAGCCGCTTGCTTGGGACTACACAACTAAGAAGGCTTGGAGCCAAGCTCTCTCTGGAGCCCCTCTCCCTGCCACCTTTTTCACTGGGGGGCCGTTCTCCTGGCCCCTCAGGGAGTGGCTGGGATCAGAGAGCCTGGGGTTTGAGAGGGCTGCTGCTGCCGCCGAGGAGAAGGGAGGGCGGGCACAGGACGGGACCTGCCCACTACCCGCCTGGCACTGTCGGTGTAGCCAGCCTGCTGGGCCGCTAGCCGCCAGCTCAGGTCTCCAGACTCCCTCTCCTGATAGATGGGGTTGAACCGGATCGTTCGCGGAAGGTCTTCTTACGAGGGGTCGCTAGCTGACCCGGGTGCTTTCATTTCCGCTTCTGAAGCAGGGTCACTGTCGACAGCTGCAGTGCCCACATGGACGGGCAGGTTCCCCACGTGCCGGGCAGTCAAGGCAGGAATTGCGCCAGAAGGCCGAGCCCAGACCGAGCCTCTGCCGCCCGGCGGGCGGCCTGGCTCTGCAGTGTCAGCATCGGGAGCGTGTCCAAGGGGTGGGTGGGCCTCGAGCCGCTGACCTCCGCCTGCCTATTTATCTCTGCCATTTCCTCTGAAGCAGATGTCTCTGCTGCTGGGAGAGGGTGCTTGGGGGGAGAGGGGCTGGACAGGAAAATGTGGGGAGGGTCAAGGGGAAGGACAGCCTTGCAATTGTGAGCGAGACTTCTGGCTTTGAGTGTCCCTAGGAGTGTGCGCGCCCTTCCTGCGTCCTTGTTCTGTGCCTCCTGACGTCTTCAGCACAGTCATGCCGAGAAGGGGCTGAGAAGGCAGAATCACAGCAGCGCCTAGTCCCTTGCCTTATTAAACACTCCCCCTGCGTCCCCCAGCTTTCAGAAAGGCACCATGGGTGAGGAGAAAGCATGCTGGGCTCCTAGTCCAGTCTGAATGACTCGCATTCAGATCTTGGTGCTGACGTTTTGTGACCCTTGGTTTGCACATCTGTAAAATGGGCCAATAACCACGGTACCACCTACCTACCCTACAGGGAGGTTGTGAGGGTAGTGCTGTGTAAGCCTGTCAGTGCTACATAAATGGAAAGAGTCATTGTGGGGAATAAACAGGGCGTCTCCTGTGTTTGACTTGTGTCCTCAGTGGCCGGTGCAGAGCGGGCCCTGTAAAAGTGTGTCTGCAAAGGAAATCAGTTGCTTTGATCATCAGGGCCCTAACAGCATTTATTTTTTGTGAAGAAGTTTAATTCACGAAAGTGTATCTGCCACTGAATTCTCTCTCCTCTCCCGTGGCCCCTCACCAGGGGCCCCACGTGTCTGGGTCACTTAGCTCCTGGTACAAAGGGAGACAAAGTCGGCGTTGTTTTCCTCTCTCCGTGGCCAAGCTCTGCTCCGGCCAGCCCTTTTCTCAGCGCGTCCGCCCTTGGTTCTCTGGGCGCCTGGGGGAGGACAGCTGGCCTTTGAGTATCTTTCTGTGCTTCCCTTCACCGGCGCGGGTAGCAGCCCCCCTGTCTCCATCCGTGCTCCCCTTCCCTTCACCGGCGGGGGTAGCAGCCCCCTGTCTCTGTCCGTGCTACTCTTCCCTTCACTAGCGCGGGTAGCAGCCCCCCTCTATCCGTCCATGCTCCTCTTCCCTTCACCAGCACAGGTAGCAGCTCCCAGCCCCCGGGAGGTGGCATTCATTAGTATGACCTTTTGATGAGGTTCCCCAAGCTGGGCCTTGGGTAGCGGTCAGCCAGCGCCATTTATGAAGCACCCACTCTGTGCTGGGCCCGGAGCTAAGAGGGGAAAGTGAATCCCTGCCCTTAAAGGAGCTTACAATCTAATGGGTAGACAGTGGGGGGTTGCAGGGGAAGGGTCCCCGGGTTGCGGGCTGGTGCAGGAGCCTGGTGGGAAAGGAAGCGATGGCTCAAGAGGAGGGGCCCAGGGGCTGAAGCAACTGCCATGATGGCAGTTCTGGGGTTTGGTGGACATCTGGGGGAGTGCAGCCAGGCAGGAACTGAAGTTTGTCTGGGCCCCTCCTCGAGTCCCTCTGATCAGGTCAGCGATCACCTCCATCCTGGGAAGAGGGCCTGGGGGACAGCTCCCAGGCATCCCTCAGCCCAACCGCAGATGTTTGTAAAGCACACGGCGTGTGGAGTCCTGTGCCACATTCAGAGGAGACAGACCAGTGGGGGCCGCCATGTTGGAGGACACCTGCCTCCTGGTGGCCCTGGGTGCCCCGCCCGCGTGTGGGCCATGGGGTTGGGGAGAAAGCCCAAATAACGGGCCACCTTGCGTTGGTAGAACACAGTGCTGTTTATTTTTTTTATTCGTTTATTTTGAGTTATCAATAATCACTTCCATAAGCTTTTGAGTTTAAAATTTTTCTCCACCTCCCTCCCCACCACCCTCCCCAAGACAGCGTGCAATCTGATACAGGCTATACATATACCTTCCTATTAAACATATTTTCACATTCGTGATGTTGTAAGAATTAGAGGCAATAGGAGGAACCACCAGAAAGAGAAAACAAAACTCACAGAAGAAAAAAATAGCAAATAGCATGCTTCGATCTGCATTCAAACTCCATAGTTCTTTCTCTGGATGTGGATAGCATTTTCCATCATGAGACCTTTGGAGATGTCTTAGGTCCTCGCACTGCTGAGAAGGGCTAAGTCTATCAAAGTCAGTCATCACCCAGTGTGGCTGTTACTGTGTACAACGTTCTCCTGGTTCTGCTCACTTCACTCAGAATCAGTCTATACAAGTCTTTCCAGGTTTTTCTGAACTCCGCCTCCTCATTCATCATTTCTTATAGCATAATAGTATTCCATCACAATCATATACCACAACTTGTTCAGCCATTCCCCAATGGATGGACGTCCCCTCCATTTCCAATTCTTTGCCTCCAGAAAAAAGAGCTGCTATAAATATTCTTGTACATGTGGGTCCTTTTCCCATTTGTATGATCTCTTTGGGATACAGCCCTAGAAGTGCCATTGCTGGGTCAGAGGGGATGCATGTTTTGATAGCCCTTTGGGCATAGTTCCAAATTGCTCTCCAGAATGGTTGGATCAGTTCACAACTCCCCCAACACTGCATTAGTGGAACACAGCGCTTTTTGAGGCACTTTTGTCATCACAAACTTAGGGGACCTCCCGAGGCGGCCAGGCAGGCAACAGATGAGGCAGCCAAGGCTCAGAGCTGGGGAGTGTTTTCAGAGGGCTAGGTGAGCCTGCAGGCGCTCTCTCAGTGCTGTCTGGTGATGGCGAAGAACCTCAGCCTCTAGAGAGCACCACTGAGTGCATAGAGCCCTGGGCCCAGAGTCAGGAAGGCCTGAGTTCAAATCCAGCCTCTGACATTACTAGCTGTGGGACCCTGGGCAAGTCACGTGAACTCCATGTGCCTCAGTTCCCTCCACTCAAAATGGGGATGGTAGCAGCGCCTCCTTCCGGGGTGGTGGCACGGATCCGGAAGTGTTCGTGACGCTCGCTCCTGTTAGCGTTCTTGCCTTGGCTCTTGGCTGCCCCTTCTGCTCTGTGGGTCATCCAAGGGCCGCTGGAGCAAACTGCTCTTTCCTGCCTTGGGGCGGGGGGCAGCGCCAGGGTGATGGTGAAGGATTGGCCTGGTGGGTGGATAGGCAAGTGCTGGGGTTAAGCTCTCTGGGAACTTCCTTTTTAGAAGCAGTTGTACAAAAGTAGCCGGCATTCTTTTTTTTTGGCCAGTCAGCAAGCATTGATTAAGCACCCACTGTATACCTGGCAGCATACCAAGTGCTGGGGATCCCTGCCCTCATGTAGTTCACATTCTAATGGGAGAGATCATACAAACTGCTGTGTATGTTTGAGGTAGATGCAGCATAACGGGGCGGTGATCTCGGGGAAGGCCCTAGCGTGGGGTGTCTAAGAGGGAAGGTGAGGTCTGAGTCGAGTCTCCAGGGAAGCCAAGTGAGGAGAGAGCATTGCGGTCAGAGAAAGGCACTGGGCTGGGAGACAGACTGTCCTGTGAGGACCCGCAGGAAGGCCAGTGTCGCTGGACTGTAGAGCACAGAGTGAGCAGGTGTGAATGGGTGGCTATCTGCCTCACTGGAGAGAACCACCACTAAGGAAAGGTGTCCTTAATGGAATGGGCTGCCTCTTAGTGGCTTGGTGGCTTTGTCTGCTGGAAGCGTTCAGACAAAGAGTGGCCCATTCTGTGTCACTCTCGGTGCAACTGTGGCTGAGTGGCTTGTTGAGGTGGGGGTGGCACTTGGCCAGGTGGGCAGGGACCAGAGGGCCAGCGTGGGTGGCCCTGGCGTCTCACTGCACCTCCCTGGGTTCTCACTCAGCATTGGTTTGAAGAGGTTCTTCTGGCCTCCATTTTCAGCGTGTGCATTTTTCTAGCATTGGGGCTTGTTTTAGCCCTCTCCTGGTGTCCCTCACCCCCCCCAAGCTGGAACATTTGCCGTGGAGGTTTCTGGAATACAAGCACAGCATATGCCCCCGCTCCCGAGCGTGGAGAGCAGAGTGATGTCAAGGCAGGTGTTTCCTGGAAGTCAGGCGGCACTGCGCATTGCTTGCTGGGCCAGATCTGTAGGGGATTTACAGCAGCCAGGCTGGGACAGGACATGGAAGCTGAGGCCATTTCCATTGAAGGCTTGGCCGGGAATATTCTCCCCCATTGTTTGGGCTTCCCCTCCTGCCTGGGCTTTGGATTCCTCTGAGAAGCTCACAACAGATTGTCCTGAGGGGTGGACGTCTTGGTGCTTCAAGGAGCTGGGGTTTTTGGGGGGTGTGGGCACTGCCCCCTTGGGGCTCCTGCTGTTTTCTGTGCATTTCAGGTTGGTTCCCTCGAGCCTCTGTTCCCATCACTCCTACCCCACCCCGCCTTGTAACTGGAAAAATTGCACTCTTCTCTGGAGCTCTTCCTGGGGTCTGGGGTGCAGCCTGTGCCCACCCCCCCTCACCTCTCCATTGCCCTCTGGGTGATGCCCAGCTTTAGTTCTATGTGGGCCATGCCGCTGTAGAGCGACCCTGGTAGAACGTCCATATTGAAAAGATATGAGGATGACGGTGCCAATGGGCATTCCTCAGCATCCTGCCTGTGGGCAGAATAGTAAGTGTTGGGGCCGGGTGAGTTCAGGGCTTCTGCCTCTGAAACCATCTGTATCCGTGATTTTGTGGCAGCCCCCCATAAGCACTTCACTCCAGGAACCCCATTTTAATATCTCAGCCTGAGACTGATCTCTCCCTGTGGAAACGAATGCCCACTCGTTCCTGACACAGCTCGGCGGTGGGGGGAAGCTCTCTCACGGCGGGCAGCGTTGTAATTTACCCACAGAAGGGCGGGCGTGGGGATGTGGCAGGCATTTTCCTCCTGGGCCTGTGACTCCGTGATGCTGCGCTCTCTCTCCCGCAGAATCTGCAAGCGTGACTCCGTTTGGGGTTGGTACGTTTGAGCATTCGTCTTTGCCTCCAGTGTTTTCCCCTTTGCTCTGCAGTATTTAGCCCCCATTTTACAGACGCACTAAGGGCTGGGGATTGCCCAGCTACATCAGAGTGTCCCTTCCTGGGCTGCTCTTCAGACAGACCCTGAAAGCTCTTTTCCTTCTCACACTGCAGCTTCAAGACCATCATCTACTACATCGATGATCAGTTTGAGCGGTACCTTCACGATGAGAGCGGGTTGAACAGACGCCATATTGTGGACAACCGTGTCCACTGCTGCTTTTACTTCATCTCCCCTTTTGGTCATGGGTAAGTAAGGCTGCAGAGACTTTGATCTGAGGCAGTTCCAGGATTTAGGGTACCAGCTGCTCCCAAGTCGATGCAGGGCTGTAAACCCTTCTGTTAGGGGACTACGTCATTCCTGGGCTGTCAGCCGGCCAACTCAATTAAAAGCGTCTTTGGGATCAATGCTGCCTCCTGTTTGCCTGCATTCTTGTAAGAATTTAATTTTACTCTAGAGTTGGCATTGAATTATGACTGGAAAGGCTGAGAATTGACGGGAGATGTATAGTTCCTCCCGGAGTCCTTTCAGCCATGGCTTAAGCGTCTGAAGGAATGGTTCCTGCCACCGGGTGCATTTTTACCCTTCATGGAGACCTGGAGAATGGTCCTCTGTGCTTCTGACTCTGCTCGGGCTCTCAGAGTTGGGTGTCACTCCCTGGCCATGCTGTTGGTATCCTTCCAGGTTGAAGCCCTTGGACGTGGAGTTCATGAGAGCGCTTCACGGCAAAGTGAACATCGTGCCGGTGATCGCCAAGGCAGACACCCTGACCCTGAAGGAGCGAGAGAGGCTGAAGCATAGGGTAGGTGCCGAGGGCCAGGGCCAGCGTGAGTGGGCGGGCTGGCAGTTTGTTTGTTTAAAAGAAGATGTTAGAAACCTGGTGCAGGATCTCTGGGAGGAAAAGTCTCGTAATGAGGCCAGCTGTGAGGTTGCGAGATGGACCTAGCTCTTTTTCAGATACAGGTAAGATGTAGGGTTTTGTGTTCCTTTTAAAGAATTGCAGTGGGTTGAAATGTTTGCCCTTGTGGACGTAGAAATAGACGCTTTCTCAGAAAGCCTTCGCATCTGGATCGATTCTTCTCAAACTGTGGATGGTGAACTCCACGTCCATTTCTAGAAGAAGCCTCGTTTTGACTTTGGAGGAGCGTGTGGTCAAGGTGACCCCGGGGCTGGCTTTTGCAAAGAGGATGGCGACCCACCAGGCCGAGATGGGGGGGAAGGGCTTCCGCGGCCAAGGATGCGTGGAGGCGACGGATCGGAGCTAGGCCAGGGACCTGTTTCTGACGTGTAGTGGCTGTGCCACACTGGCCAGGTCACTTGACTTGTCTTAGCTTGAGTTTGCTTCTGTGTCAACTGGACACGATGATGCATTGCTGGCTACCTCATGGAGAGGCTGGGGATAAAGAACCCTGAAGTGTGACAGAAATAGAAGGTATTACTATAGTAACAATGCCCGATTGCTCTTATTTACAAGGATTTTTATAGGAAATAATTGATTTCAGTAGGCTTCCTTCCCTGTTCACATCAGCCCTCCTTCATGAGGCCATCCGTAATTAGGCTGCTAGGCATCCTAGTGGATGGAGCTTCAGATGAAGAATCAGGAAAACCCGAGTTCCAATCCTGCCTCAGGCACTTTGTGGCTTTGTGACCCTGGGCCAGACATTTAACTTCTATCTTTTAACATTTAACTGTTCTCAGTCCTAGTTTCTTCACTTGTAAAGTGGAGGTAAAAATATTCCCTACCTTACAGGGTTGTTGTGGGTTAACATACAGCGTTTTAATCACTATCTGTCATGATTATTAATACCTAATTAATTGCAAACTATTAGTAGAGAAATTTTTACCTGATAATTTGTTGTTAAAGTTGTCAGTAAGAGAGAAAATCAGAGACACCATTGTGTACCATTTACACTTCGCATCTGTAACCCCTCCCATCTCCAACATCCCAGCTGTCCTAATCTGAAACGTTCCCTAGCACCCTTCTTAACGTTACAATTCACCAAGTAAACCGTACACCTGGAAGCCCGTAGGATGAAAGGAACAGGGACGAGGGACTGTCTAGACAGCAAACCCTCCCTACTCCTGCCATCTTGACAGCGCTTCCCTTGCTAATTCAATTTAGGCAGAGTAGGCCATAGGACTCTTTTCATCCTAACTCCTTACAGAATGGCCGTGGGATTTCCAGCCGTATCCTCAAATGGATGTGTGGTCTCATCATGGTGGCTGATAGTGGTCACAGTCCAGACTTGCCTGCCCATTCTGTAGGACTCTTTCTGTTCATTTCCTGCTGGGGCCTTCCTCCATTTCCTTTGACATCACGTGGATGCCAGAGGGCCGCACAGACTGTCTGTCCCTTGAGTTATCTCTCACTCTTAACAGGTGGCCAGCCGGTCTCTTTGGATTATGTGTCTCTCTGATGAATCCTTTGTCATGCAACAACATTTTTGGTTCAGTAACATTGCCCTAAGGGAGGAAGGTATTAATGTGCGATTTGGGAACTTGCTTTTTTAAATGTTTTGATAACTATTTCAATGGAATTGGCTTCCTTTGTAATCCTGTGTATTTTATGTATTTGTGAATATGATTTTGAGAAGGGGCTTATGGGCTTCCCAGACTCACTGCCAAGGGGGCCTAGACCCAACGAGGTTGAAGACGCCCTGCTTTGCTTCTGGGAAAACCAGGAAGCAGTCTGGCAGAAAGTGGGCATAGACCAACATTCTCCATATGCCAAGAGGGGCTCAAATGGTGACATGATCTAGACATAAAGGATGACATCATAAGCAAATTAGAGGGTCACGGAAAGAATGGCCTGTCAGATCTCTGGAGAAGGGAAGTTTGTGGCCAGATGAGAGACAGAGAGGATCATGGGAGAGAAATGGATCATTTTGATGATATGCAATTAACAAGTTTTTCACAAATGATACACATGCCGCCAAAATTAGAAAGAAAACTGGAAACTGGGGAAAATTTTTATAGCAAGTTTCTCTTGTAAAGGCCTCTTTCTCAAATATATAGGGAACTGAGCCAAATTTATAAATATAAGAGACATTCCCCAGTTGACAAATGGTCAAAGGGTGTAAACAGACAGCTTTCAGAAGTCAGATCTATAGTCATAAGAAAAAAAGCTCTAAATTGCTGTCAATTAGAGAAATGCAGATTAAAACCACTCTGAGGTGCCACCTCCCACGCATCAGATTGGCTAATGTGACAGCAAAGGAAAATGGCAAATGCTGGAGGGGATGTGGGAGAACAGGGAAACCAATGCCCTGTGGGTGGAAGGTCCCAGATGGCAGTTGAAGATGCAGGACAGTCCAACCATTAAGACAGGGCCGAAGGGAGCAGCAAGGTGGTGCAGTGGATAGAGTACCCGCCCTGAAGTCAGGAGGACCTGAGTTCAAATCTGGCCTCAGACCAAACACTTGACGCTTACTAGCTGTGTGACCCTGGGCAAGTCACTTAACCCCAATTGCCTTAAAAAAAAAAAAAGAGCTGAGGGAGTGTGGAAGGGCACGTATCAGGGCTCTGTAGGTTGGAGCATATTCCTGAGGATGAGTTGTACCTGAGAAGTGGTAGGTGGAGCTCCCAGGTGGGTGACTGAGAAAGGAGGAGCATCCAGCTAGCGTCAAAGGCCCCTCTCACGTTCATGAAGCCTTAACGGGTCCAGAGGAGGGTCACCGCTGTTGTTATTGGAGTTGCCCTAGATGAGAAGGTGTGGAAGGAGTGCCCACTAGCCCATTGCTAGTGGGTGGAGCCACTCTAGATGGACAGAGCCTAGCGAGCTTTTCCATCTTTCTCCCTGTCCGTTGTGCTCACGGTTTCTTGGCAGCTTTATGTACCAGTTTGTTTAGCCATTTCCCCTAGGGGATGGGCACCTGCTTTGTTTCCAGATCTTTGCAACCACCACGAGTGCCGCTATAAACATTTGGGGACACATGAGGCCTTTTTTGTTCTTGTCCTCTTTGGGGTACATGCCTGGCACCCACATCTTAACATTTAACATTGCCCTTTGACAGCATGCTGACATTAGCAACCGTCCATGGATTTTCCATTTTAATGTGGAATTCCCTCCCCACAGATCAGTCTTCCGAGTGTTGGCGAGTGGTCATAGGCTTTGAACACAGCATCGTGTCATAAATGGGTACATTTCTTAGTGTAGTGCCCCTTTGAGGCCTCATGTCCTTGGCACTGGCCTAATTTCAGTTCCAAATAGAAGAAAGAAAGAATTTAATTTGAGCGAGCAGACCCAGCACCAAGGTTGTCCGAGGCGCCGCGCTGCATCTCGGGGAGAAGGTAGCAGGCCCGCTGGTGAGGCCGCCGTTTTCGGGAAGGGTCTGAGAAGGCCTTGGGTCACAGCCCAGGACACCAAGCTGATTGATTTGCCCTGAAGACGAAGTTGCGGTAACGTGACATTGAGCTTCATCCTGTTGGACTGAAGGAAAGAGAATGAGGGGAGTCATCTCTTTTCCTTGGGGGCGATGACACATTTGTGTGCACAGGTTGTCTGAGGAAAGACGTGTGTTATGTTGTTCCAAGTATATGTTGCTTCGTGGAGGCGCGTATCAAGTGGTTCCAAGAAAGTGGCGGGTGTGTTTTCTCAGGGGAAATGACTGTGTGTTATTTCAGCTCGGGACGTCTTGGTGAGAAGGTGACTAATCAGCGGCGAGCATCGGGGTCTTTGCTGTCATGATCACAAGAGCTGACAGCTTTCAGAAGTCGCTGCCATTTGGCGGCCAATCTGAGGCCGGGGACGCTTTGTTTTGATTTTTCGAGCTCGGCAGAGAGTCCTTGAGAAGGAAGCCCCGCTCGGCGTCGTTCCTGTTTGGTCTTGCTGCGATTCAAAGCCCCGTTCCCCACTGTTGCCCCCCTTCCATGGGAAGCCACGGAGGAAGCCTGCCTGCAGGCCTGACTTCATGGGAGGGAGCGGGCACTTGGGTGTTGGCGCTGTTCCTTTCTTTACGTTTCCCAGGGGAAGCTAATCTCGAGAAACACAGAACCTCGGGAGACCAATAAAGGGGACGGCAGGAGAAGCAGAATGGCCCCATTGTTGAGCCATGAAATAGAGTTTGTTTTTATTGCTTTTCTTTTATCCTGCAGGAAGGCCCCGGGTTTAGCAGCTGGGATGTGTTATCTCGCACCCCTGGTCTGGGCTTTCCCTCTATTGTTTGTGCTGCCTTTTCATCCCTGCCACCGCTGACAAATTAAATGGGCTTCATGTTTCATGTGTTGGCCTCCTGTTCCCTCAGACAGTGGCGCTGCCAACGGGTCCCAGAAGCCCAAGGACCACCGAGGCAGGTGGGTCCGCCTTGTCTCTGAGCTTCCCTGCTTGAAAAACCAGTGGGTTCCCACTGTCTCCGAGAGGAAGGGCTTCACGCTCCTTAGCGTGGCTCCTCGTGCCCGGGCGCTCCGACTCCTACTTCCCTTCACACACCCTTCTTACCGTTGCTGTTCGTGGGCCCTACGTGCAAACCAGGCCCCGAAACTGAGATTCCATGTCCTCCCTCCATGCCTTTGCATCAGCCGTGCCCTGCGCTTAGGCTGTCCTCCCTCCGCCATCCTCTGCTTTTCCTCTTAGTCTCAGCCTTCTCCTTTCACCTTCTCCTCTCACTTGTCTGCGTGTCCTTGCCCCCCGAAGAAGGCGAGCCTCTCCAGAGCAGTGTGTAGCCCCAGGAACTTCCAGCGTGTCTCGCGTGGGATGGAAACTTAACCAACAGGCATGTCCTGTCGCGGGCCCTGGGAAGGGAAACACAAACTCAAGCCCGTTCTGCCTACTCTCCAGGACTTAGTAAGTCGGGATTGATTTCT